TATTCATGAAAAACATGTGCTATAATAATGCATTCATTGTAAATGAATGATTTTTTAATTGTATTAATTATCTAAAAAGTCTTTTATATTCATAATATTTTGATAGTTGGTAATAGAGCTAATATAATTTAAGCTATTCCTTGTAAAATGTATGAAAGGAGTACCATTACAATAAAAAAGTGTAATTAATAATGTAAAAGCAGGAATATTTGGAAGGGGGGGGGGGTTGTAGGCTTAGGTTTTCGAGGGGGGTTTGCATTCAGTGAAAATCCTAACATGTAGACGCTGGTTGTGGCAACACATTCATATATGTTTAAAAAAATGAAATAAAAAAAATCTTGATACATCGGAGAAGGAGAGATATTTTATTTTAAATTTAGGAATATCACCGCTGATGGCGATATCCTTTAAATAATTTACTATGATACCCTTTTTGTTTTTTTTTAAATAAATTCAAATATAAAAGGTTTACAAAAATGATAAAATGATCTTTGCAATTTCTTTTTAAAATGTAATAAATATAATTAATCCGCTATTTCGAAATCAATATATCTGTTTAATTAAATCACTTTATAAAATAAAATATATATTAAAAAAATGTAAACTATAACACAATATACCACCAAGAAAAATAATTTGGAAGAAAATAAATATATTAAAATATTTTTTAATATAAATATAATTTTTTTTTAAAATGGCATTTTTATAATATAAAAAGAAAAAAACAAAATTATTTTTAAAAAACATAACATAGTCATCCTGCAATATGTAGATTGAAAGCAGGAATCCAAACTGAAACTAATATCGGTTCAGGTTCAGATAAAAAATAAAGATAACAGTTCAAGATCCTGGTTTGATTTAAAAAAAATATAAATACCGGTTCGAATATCTAAAAACCGGTTTGAACACTTTTATATACAAACCTACATTCAAATTATGTTATAGGGAGGAAATATTTTTTTATTTCATCCTTAAGATAAAAAACACATACATAAAAAGTTCCCTTTTATTAATTGCACATTTATTAATTTTATAATTTTTTTTATTAAGCAGCACAACTAATATATATTTATAATATTCATCTCATTCAGATTACATCTATTAGGAGTATAATTGGGTAATGGCTAAATGTCGGCTAATTTCGGCTCAATCTTAATTCACCTGCCGAAAAAACGTTAATTAAGGCGTTTAAATTTATATTAGTTTCTTCCAAATTTGAGCTGCTATCTTTTTAACGGAAAAAATATAATCTTTACATAATTATAATAAGGAGATAGTATAAATTTGATTTTTGTAAAACATCTTTCCACACGACGATCTGCACTGCCATTATAATATCAGAAAATTTTCATAAATCCGGTATTTATTACTCTGATTTCTCCAATAGTCTAAAATATTCATTTCTTTATTTAACCTAGACCAATGACATATAATAATACCTAGACTGACGATTCATTCATTAAAATGCATTTTTAAGCGTCGTTAAAAGCAAATCAGCTGGACCCGCCATTTTGGTAACCTTTATAATAATTATTTTCATGTTAAAAACTAATATTAAATTTATAACTTACTTTCTTATTATCTCGATGATCAGGCAATTCTATAATAAAGTTTGCATCAGATATAATATAAAATTAGGCTCTCGTTTAAAATTTTAATATTTATTACAGTAACCAAGATGGCGTCTCTAGCTGATTTGTATTGATGTACACTTTTAATGAATGAATTGTCAGTCTAGGTATTATTATATGTCATTGACCTAGACTTTTAGAAAAATTAAATAAAATATGTCTAATATTCTCCGAATTTTTGAGATAGTTTTTGTTTGTTACCATCCTTTTTTTTAAAGAAAATTCTTTTATAAATTCACTCACTTCAGGTGAAGATCCATTCTTGTTAAATTATCCTTACTATAATCCCCCACTATCAATTTTAATTGTATGTTGTTGTATAAAAATTTCTTTAATTGTTAGTGTTCTAAGTAGTGTTGTGAAAAAGTTCGATTCAGGTCGATTTTGACCCCCCCCCCCCCCCCGATTAAGATCATAACCAAAATAACATTATGTAATCCTAAAGATTTTGCTCATAGCTGGCAGAAATACTTGGACATCTTTATACCAAACCTCGATGCTTGCATAATATTATTTAAGCTAAACTCTTAATCGGGCCGTTTTGATAAATCGACCCAAATCGGGCTTTTGGGCTTTTTAACAAAACTAGTCCTCAGAACAATTTTAGCTTTTTGTGCATTCTGATGATTAATCCCAAATACCTTTCCATTTATTTCTTTTAATTATATTTTTTTCCGAATTCTCAAGCCTAATTATGCAAAATTAGATTAAATAACCTGAGAATTAATTTTGATTTTACCCATGTTGTAATTATCATTCAAATTGTGATAATATTCAAACAAAAATAATGCTTTTAAGTAGACTATGCAAATGAGAGGAAAAGCGTGATATCATAGATTTTTCATTTCACTTTTTTATTTTTCACTGATAAATTTCTTAAATTTTCTTAATTTTAATCTTTTACTTTTTCTTATTTTAGTTTTCTTTTTATTTTTAATTAATTTATAATTGATTTATATATAATTTAATAAATAAATTATTTTATTGCCAATCTTCTTTTTATTTATTTTTAGGTTCCAAACTTTTCTCTATATTACACCCATGCCTTCTAAAATATGATCAATAATTTTTTTTACTATCACCGATTATTGAATGGTCTATCATTAAGAGTGATCAACTCGGTGCATGCATAAATTATTTTTTTTCTATTTGTTTTACTGATAGTCTGTTGGCTTGATCACATTTTAATTTTTTAAATATTTCTTTAGCCTTCTGTCACGATGTGTTAGTTAATTTTACCGAGTTCTAGAGGGTGGTTACTTTTTATGTGATTCTCAAGAATTGCTCCGTGGTGCCCCTTTATAATTGTAACACTAACAATAATATTTCATTTTAATGTGTCATTTTTAATACTATTGGATTTATCTCTAGACATTATAAGCAAATATATTTTAAAAATGTTGTAAAATATTTTAACATTTATGAAAAATTTGACAATCAAAATTGATTGATGATAATCTTTAAAACAATTCTGATATAAATAATTTTACCAATAAACTAGTAATAACTTTCATATTCTGTTATAAGCACAACACAAAATCATGAAACTTGAACCTGTTCACAAAAGTCTTGCGGTTCCGTTTAGGTTCGGATAGACAATTATTTAAAGGTTAAAGTTCCATTAACGGTTCAGGTTCGATATGGATACCTGATTTAAAGATATCCAATAAAATGTATGAGGAAAGAATTAACCTAAAAATGACCCCCCCCCCTCCACTAATTATCACTCTAAGCAAAATTCTGGCTTGTGCCTATGGGGCCTTTTTCATAATTTAAGTATTTCTATAATAGCATATTGGCAGTATAGTTCAGCGCATTTAAGCGACCTTTTTTGAAGAGGGAAAGAAAGGGTCTCGAAGTAAAAAAAATGCAAATGTTCACAAAACAACAATTTTTTAATGAATGTCAAAACTCTTTTATATTAATTTTATTTATTTATTCTGTTTAAAGATAATCCTTAACCTTTATATTCTCCCAAAGATGTAAAAAATTATGATTTCCACATAAAGTTTATAGAATTTCATACAGGGCCACTCACTCCAAAATGTACTGGAAACCTTTTGTTTATAAATTCATATCACCAAACCAATCTGAAAAATAAAACTTAAGGGGCAGCCAGAATTTTGCTAATTGGGGGGGGGGGTACATTAATAGGTTGGTTTTTTTCTCTGAGACCTTTAAGCAAACACATTGCAAGCCTTTAAGTTACATATTTTTTAAGTGATAATTTTGGGGGTTTTTTTAGCAGAAAATTTGAATTATAGTTATTTTAAAAAATTATAAACTTTTGCATTTTTCTTTCAAATTGATGTTTAAAGTGATATATTACATATATTTTTTGGAGAGGGGGTATGGGATTTGTAGGTGGTTTAATTATTCTGTTTTTCTTGAATAAAATTTTAAAAAAGATTAAAAATGAGAGGATTGCCTTTTTTCACGGGAATGGGGAAGCTAAATCGCTCTTATCTACCTCCCTTTTATGTAGACGTTGTATCCGGTGAATGATTAATATATAACTAATGATATTATAGCCAAATTTACAAAACAAAATGCAACATCTAAAGATGCTTGATATACATTTTCTGGTTACACGCTAATTTAAATGCATATAACCCTGTTGAGAAATAGTTATAGAGCGCAGAAATATTCTACTCTCTATAGTATTAAAGGTGGTGACACATGTTCAGAAATAAATACCCACTTCACAAATTTCGTTATATTTAATTTAAATGAAATAATAAATAATGTTTCGCAAATTAAAAAAACAGTGTAGAAAAGATAAAATCAGGCCTATTTAAAGTAATAATGGACTGGGCTTTTAAAGAATTCGGGCTAGACCGGGTCGAGATATCTTTCCATTTTGTGAAATAAATTCATACATTTTAAAATTCTTGCAAGAAAACAAGGTGCCAATATTTTTTTATTTGTATAATATTTTTTTTGCTTACAATTAAAAAATTATTAAATTTTCTATATTTAAATAATGTTGGGGCCGGGCAAATAATTTTTATTTTTATTTAAGGTCGGGATTTTCGGAACAAATAAAAAAAATTGTTCGGGGTCGGGCCAGACCGGACAAATTTTGTAAAAAAATTCGGGCAGGACTTGAAAAATTAGGCGCGATGCATTATCACTAGTTAATATATGTGTTGTTAAATTTGAAGGAGAAGGAGCCTTTATAAAATGATAAACTATAAATATGCATTAAAGTTCTACATCGAGATGGTTTTGATCGTCCGACCAATCCAAAATAAGTATTTTCTATCCGTCGAGTCCGTTTAATTACACTTAATAATAGTTCTAAGTTGATCCGGTCCAAAGTTTTATTGAAAAATTAAATTCGAGTAAATTCGACCCGACTTGGGCGAGTCAGATCTCCTTGATGGGCTCTAATATATTTAGTAGTCTGATTTATATATGTTAAATTTTTTAAAATTTTATTAAATATAAATGATCAAAATATATAATTGCGAACAACAACAAAAAATGATTTTACCCTTTATTAAAAAAAATAATAAAATAACAGGTATAAAATATTCATTGGTCAAATATTATGCACATTTATATTATCACAGATGGAATAAGGAAAATAATACATGATTATTGTTTATTTATAATGTATTTATATAATGTTAAAGATAATTTTTACACAATGATACCCATAATAAAATTATGAAAATTACTGTTTTATAAATCGTATTTTATTACATTATGTCATTCTTATAATTATATATTTTTCTAAGATATACGTAATACAAAAATCGTAAAAAACGATAGACAGCAATACAAGGCGCGCCGATAATGATGGAGGCAATTGTAGGAACATGATATTTTGAAGTTTTGCTGGAAAAAATCCCATAATCATTAGTATACCATTAACTAAACCATATTATTTATTTAATTTAATAAAAGGTGTAACATAATAACTTAATCATATAATATAATAATAAACAATAAATATTTAACTTACAAATTAAAAGATAAAAATTGATCTCTCGTCTGAAAAACGTAATAAAAAGTTAAACGCAAGTTTTTTTCTTTCCATAAAAATGGACCTCTAGTTTGAATAATGTAATAAAATAATATTTTTTTCTTAAAGGAAATTATAATAACTTGTAAGACAGAACAAAGCGATTAATAAAAGACTGTTGCGTCGGATTTCCCATAGTGACACTCGTACGCCCCTAGCGGAAGATTCGTAGAGCGTCACGGCCAGCGCTTATATAATTAATTAATTATAAATTATCATTTAAAATTAATGTATATTCCGATAATTCATAATTAAATTCCATAAAAAAATAAACATTAGTTTTTAGGGCTGTGCCGATACACAACTTTTTCGGATATTACTATAAAACCGATCAGATCAATCCGATATTTATATTGACTTTTATTCACCATCTTTCTTTGTGTAGATGTCATAAATATATCAGTATTTTCTACTTTAAAAAAAAACAACTAACTTTTACGAATGATTAAGTGTATTTTATTTCTTTTATTTTTCATAATTTAATATTTTCATTTAAAATATTTGCAATGTTTATGGGTGAATGTAGTGTTGTTAAGTAGCTCCACTTAGTCGATTTTTGAAAAAAGCCAAATCAAAATTTTAACCAATATATTATTGCCTATGCCTCGAAATTTCGCCAATAGAAGTCCAAACCTTTCTGATATCTGTGAGGAAATTCAATACGCAGGTCATTTACTCTTGACTAATGAGTTACCCATTTTTAAAATTTGCCAAATCGAGCCGTTTAGAAACACCAACTGAATGTGACTCGTTAGAAGTTTTAAAATCCTTTTCTATTTACAGATAATATAACAAAAAATAGTGCAAAATTTTAGACTATTTTTATTTAAACATTACAATTAATAAATTGTATATTATTAGTTCCTTTGATTCATTTATTATTATGAAATTATTTATAAAATAAAAAAATATATATATAATTATAAAATAACCAAAAAAAATAAAAAATATCGGACGGCACAGCCCTATTAATTTTATATATGTCTTATTGGGTTATGAATCTCATGGGAATTCAGAATATTTCAATTTAGATCATTCACTGAGGGCATTAAAAAATATTCCAGCATGCGTAGAGGTGCCCACACTATGAATTTTGGACTACTTTGCTGTGTAATTCGTATTTATCATTCTAGAATACATTTTAGGTCAAATACGATTTTACAAATGCTACGATATTGATGGATTTCATATCCCAATACGGCATACATGATCATGCTTTATATAAGTAGCTAAAAAAAAATTTAAAAAAAGAAGAATTGTTTGTGAGTATATAGTAAAAAAACAAACTTAAATATTGCAGGGCAGAAACGAGGAAAATGGCAGTAACTTCATGGGACAAATAATCCTCTTCGACATCTATTTCAGGATTGTAAGGTTCAAACCAAGGTCGCTCGATTACGTAGCACCGGACGAGGACTATGGAAAAAAATTTAATATGGTATATTATAACAAGAAATAAATATTCAAGAAGAATTAGGATACTTATTTTATTTATAATATTTATGAGAAAACGTGATATAGAAAAAGAGGAACCTAGAAAGAGTAAGTGAAGTGAGGTTTGGGAGAAGAGAGAGAAGAGAGCTGGTCCCGACACGAGGCTGGCGCGTGGGCTATCGCAACTCAGGGATGGTAGTTCAGGAAACCCAGCATCGTTCCATAATTTTCCGGCTATTTTGATACAAGATTTTCGGGTTATTATTTTGTCGCGCTTTAACGACGAATCAGTGAGGCCATCGGCATCCTCCGTGTGTTTTATCGGCGAAGTTTTGGTGTCATGGCCTATGACGGATAGAGGTCGATCAATATTGTAGCGAGATAGAGAGGGAGGTCCGGCCCTACCAAACAAAACTGCAATGAGAGTAAGAGTGCAAAGATCTAGATACACGAATTGCGGGTCGCTCAGATTGGCCCCATTCCAATGTAGCATGAGTACTGCCCCAAATTGAAGCAAGCTAGATATGGCGGAATATTGAAATAACCCGAAAGATGCTCCTAACGAGCACCGGCCCTCCCTTATAAGTTCCAAGACGCATGATATGTCGCGCCCTTTAGCTAGGAACGGAGCAGCGAGCGTAACATTTTCCTCATTGTCATCGCACGAAGCATATTTTGACGTAGGGTTTTTAGCGTTAGCGGATAATTTTTTGCCTGATCTATCGTTGCATCCTATTACCTTATCCATAACTTTATGATATAACGACAAAAATTTTAAAGATATATAATAGAATTTGAATTTAGAGTAGACAATTTTTTTGGGCGATTTGGTAAAAGGCTCATCATCAGAGGAAGCGGGCGATGATGTAAGAGCTACACCAACGTGGGCGCTCTTAAGAGCACTGCAGTCGTTAGCTCCATCACCGCACATCATAACGTAACGGCCGGAAGGTGCAAGGATATTGTGAATGAGGTGGGCTTTAACTTCGGGTCCCATCCTGGCAAAAATCTTTACCCGACCACAACTGATAAGAGCTCTTAAGGCTGAGCTAAGATTATTAGGGATTTTCGGGCCAATTATATGATCGTTTATCTTTTCGGATTTATCTAAATGATTCGAAGTTTGATAGGGATAGTTTAGAGTCAAAGGGATTTCAAAGGTTCCGTTTTTCGTATTAGAATATTCGAGATCAATTTTTATCGCGTTCATGTTTTTAAAATCTCGTTGATAATCATCGTATTCGCGCATTAGTATAGATTCATAGACATCTCCCGTAACGGCAAAACATATATCAGGAGTGTAAGACGCGTGAGGTAGTGGCTGCTTAGATAATTTTAATGAGGACTTAATACGGCGAGCTTTGTTGATAAATCGAAATAAATTCCAGTTGGCTGATTTAACTGAATATTTTTAAAAAAATGCTTTGTAAAAAATTAGGAAAATATAATATAATCTAATATATCAATTAGAATCATACAAACGGATATATATGCTTATTACATTAAATTAAAAAGTATACGTAAATTATCATATTTTGTTGGGATAAAAAAGTGTACTTTGGAAGATACCAAAACAATAAAACCATAAATTAATTTCATATATCACTGTATTAAACATTTTATAGACTATTTGTCAAAAGATTACTGAAATAATCCAACCAGGATAGTGATACCAAAACAATATAACTGCTGACAAATAAAGGTTCAGGATATAGTTGACAAAAAAAATATATTATGTTACCTTATTTTTCTATAATTCTTATTGAAAGAAATGGGTGGTCACCCATCTTGATTACAATTGGTGAAAAGAGAACTAGAAGTTGTTGCAGTAAAAAATAATTTTATAAAAACAGAGGGATATTAGTTTTGAATATCGCAGGGCTGGCCTATCAATCCAGCTAGGCACATCTGGCCTGCAGGCGGTAATATCATCAATAAAAAAATAATGGTCCAGCCGATGGGCCTGCTGTAAAAGAAATATTAATGTTATATTTAAAGCCAATACTTCAAAAACTATGTAAATTTTTTTTAAAAAAATTAAAACTTAGGCCAGGCCCTGACAATTCGACTTCTGCCGATATCTGTCATTAATTTTTGAATTTCGAAATTTTGAAGCGGCCCGAACCCGACTTAGTATCGAGGAACAAGCACAATGGCAAAATAAGTGCTGTCTCAAATTATTAATTTTTAAAACAAGACTCACTATTTTTTTTACAGTAATCCTTCTTGTTGCCCCGATTTTCTTCGTAAAAATCTGATGAAAAATAGTCTAGTAAATTATCACGATTCAAGACTACAACATTTTCGTGTGCGGTGTAATCGATTAATGAGCATTGTTTGGCAGTGTAAATGGCGGTTAATAAGTTATCACCGGTCACCATAAAAACGTCGATTTTAGCTTGTTTAAGTATGTCAATTACGGCCCGACTATTTGGCTTGAGTTTATTTTCAAAGATCATAAAGCCCAAGAAATGTAAATCTTTTTCCAGCTTTTAAAATAAGTTTATATTTAATATTTATCAAGCATAATAATATCAAATCAATATGTGTATCATTAGCAAACAAATAAGAACATCATTTAAATATAAAATATCAAGACCCGACATCTCTTTAGGGTGTGTAAATAAAGTCGTTTATTTTAATATTTAAAAGGCATTACAATTATATCAAACTTAAAAAATAATAATTTTTGATTAAATTTTAGGTAACACATGATAAAATCTCTCTCATCTAAATGATGTAAGCGGGATGAAAACCAGGGGCGTACAAAAAATGGGATTTGGGCACTTCCCTAAATGAATTCATACCATTCAGGGCCCTAACAAGAAATTTCGTTGGGGTGGGGGTACTTTTCAGAAAATAGCATATTTCGATTCTTTATATTCTATTTTTCTCTTGCACTAAAAAGTATACAAAGTTTCGTCATACAAAAAAATTGTCTCAATGCCTACCCCGTCCCTCAGTGAATATTCATGGTTACGGCCCAACCCCGTAATACATCAATGGACAATAATACAGATCAAAAAAAAATTTCCATATAGTTTTTCCCTCAATTTAATTATAAAGATTAAATTTGTAATCAAATCGGTAAAATGAGATGTTTTGCAAATCGAATTATCACAAGCAACAATAAATCTAAGAAACTAAGTCATATTAATATTTTTTATTACCTGAAGTAAAAATTTTATCAAATATTCAGAGTTTTAAAAATTACCAATCTTCAAAAAAGATTTGTTTTTTTCTTATTTCGATTTCAACTTGAAAGATTTTTTATGAGTCATGAAAATTACAAAAGATTTATATATACTTATAATTTTTTAAAAAATATTTTGTCATTATTAGGTAAAATTCTATCAAAAATTTCTCTTCTTCAAATCTTTGCTCTACAAATATCATTATTATAATGTATTAGTGTTGTTATAGCCTGATTCGGGTCGATTTTAAAAACGGCCCAATTAAGGTTATAACCAAAATAATATTATGTAAGTCTGGAGACTCTGCTCATAGCTGGCATAAAAGGTTTGGAACATCTATTCGCTAAATTTTGAGGCTTACATAATATTATTTTAAAATCTTAATCGGGCCGTTTTTAAAAACTAAATCGGGCTTTGTAACAACGCTATTTTGTATGATCTAAATTATGCGGCTTTTATTCGCAAAAAAAACAATGCAAAGCTATTGGCAACCCATTTACGCTAAAAAATAATAATATGGGTGAATGAAATTGCGTCATTCATTAAATTGCTTACAAGGACATGATGAAATGGCTTAATGGTGCTTACAAATTCCTCGTTTGCGATTTATATTGCTATTCAAAAGAAATTTTTTTTAAAAAAACGTATAAAGTCTTGTTTAAATTGAGACGGACGATATTAAAAATTTGTGATTTTATAATATACCAAGCTATAGGCAACTAGAGCAGCGTTCCAATTTTTAGCATTCCGACCCTTGTATATATATTTGGAGTTTTCGAGGGTTAATGTACGAAAAATGACCTTCACGCTTATCGATTATGATTCAATTAAAGATTTGCTTGAAACCAAAGAAACTCTATTTATTTTAACAAAAAACATTTAGTCTTGTCATAGATGCCGTCTTTTAAGTACCGGCTAAATAGCCAAAAATGAATATAAAAAATATTCACCAAAAATACGAGAATAAAATACGAAAAATAACAATGGCACCAAATACTTAATATTAACCAAAATAGGGTGTCCTCGATCAAATGCCTTTTAGCCTATACTAAAACGCAATTAAGTATCCGGATTAAGCCGACCTAAGACAGGCCTTAAAAGAATTTTTATTGTGGGAGTCCAAATTAACTACATTCTATGGAATAAACATGTAAAAAAATAATGAACTTCTTCCGATTTTTATAAAATCTTAAGCAAATGCCTGTCACTAAGGCAAATTTGTATCTGTATAAAAACAAACTTTGGAAATGTCAAGGCTTTCATGGTAATATCGATTATATTTTATTTATTCAATAGATTGTATATGTAACTAATTGATCTATTTTCTAATATTACTAAAGAATCTACAAGGAACATTTGTTAAATTTTTAAATTATTTTTTTATAAAAATAATGGTAAAAATATGTCATTCTTTATCTTATTACCCTTCATGTTTTCAAAAAAATATAAAAGCTAAGAAGATAAAATTAGAACACTGCTTTAGTTACGTGTACATTAGTTTCCATACAAAATTAAACCCTAGATTCTAAAGGATCCGAAGAATTGTGATCGATTTGACATGGAATATGGTTTATTACGACAACAAAAAAAAATTATAAGCAAATTTTGGAGCCATGACTAAAAAGAAAATGGTTATGGTTACAGTTCCTAAAATTTTCAAAAGTGGGTTTTAGTTTTTAAATTTGAAGCGGTTCCTTTTATTCTAAATTCGAATTCCAAACTCTGTAAATCAATCAAAAAAAATTCCTTAAAATGAGTAAAGCAACATTTTAAACCAGAGTTTGGAAAAATAATGTTCAAAGATTATTTTGGTCAAAATTTTGAGCAAAAAATTTTCCAAGATCATAAAATTAAAGATTTTTTTTTAAAAAGATTCAAGAAATTTTTTTTGCCGAATTCGGGTTCAGGAATTTTAAACTTCAATTAGCGGAAATTAAATATCAAGAATCGAAAATCGATTTTCTAAAAGAGGTTCTACCCACCCTGGTAATCGGGTTCAGAACCCTGATTTTTTGTGCATATAAAAATCGCAGAAAGATATATTTATAAAAGATATTTTTACAATTTGAAATTTTAGGTTAAATAAGTAACGAATCCCGGTTGGTTTATGGTACAGGAAAAACAAATATATTGGTTCGGTTGGGGTATTATAAATGGTAGGTAGAGTATAGAGAATATAAAAAAAGTGACAAAATGTCAAGATGAAAATAAAACATCTATTAAAAGTCATCTTTCATGAATCAAGGTACAGATGAGATTTAGTTTAAGAAATTTTTCTAAAAAAAAACGAATTAAAAGAAATACATAAATAAAAAGCAGAGTAGAATATGGAAGAAAAAAAACAGAAAACGAGTAGTTAGCTAACTTGAGGAACCAAAGGGGTGAAAATATAAGTGTGAAGGTTGGAATTTATAAAGGACCAGAGAAAAAGTGTGTATATATAGTTTTTGCCAGCTTTTGAGAATCATAAAATGATTCACTATTAAGATCTAATGAAAATCAGAGTTTCCAAAGTTTTTATAATCACATTTTAAAATATCAGTAAGTTACATAACTTTTTGTTACTTTGATTTTTTAATCGAAGCCTATATTTATACTAATATAATAGCTCATAAACATAATTATTTTTTATATAAAAAAAATGCTATGATTATATATTTAACTGAATATAGGAAATATACCTCGTTCCTATTCAATTTTTGAATTTTAGGCCATTTCATAAACGTTGGTAAAGGTTTCCAGGCAAGTGACAAAACCCTATAACCCCTTGAGGTGTAATGATCAAGATATGATTCAAAGTCAATTGGAATCGAAGATTTGTGGCATAATTCCTTAATTTTTTCGGGAGCACCTTTACAGTACACTTCAAAAGTAGGGGAACCCAGCATCCTTATAACGACGCTCATTCTCTGTAACGAAGATAAAAACGGCAATTGGCGGATAATTGCCATTTCTTTACATGTCAATGGAGGATGAACATGGTCTATATCTTTCTTCGCTGGTTGGGTTAAATGGTTGGAAAATTTCTTTTCTCTAACGATTATGGGTATTAAATTATCGTAAATTACGTCATTTAAATGTTGGGACATATCAATTTCGTTCATAGGTTCTTCGTTTTTGATCAACTCACTTATATGGTTTAAGGATTCGATAGAATCTTGATTTTTATCAACGATTTCCCACCCACTATGCTCAAACATTTTTATTTCTAATGGATCCCCAGAAATTTGACAATTTCCATTCTCATTTATAAGGGTTAAAGAATGGCATGCAGCCATGCACTCTGTAATCTTTATTTTTGTGTCAAACTCTTCCATAAAATTTCCAGAACTACTAGAACTAACACTCTCAAAATCTTTTAAAGGCTTGAATTTAAAAGAGTCACTTTGAGATTTTGATATATGTTTCTGTGTTGAAAAACCATATGATATAATGGGGTTTGTATTGTAAATGAATCCCATAACATCTAACACTTGTTCAGTCAGTGTGCCAGTTTTATCAAAACATATTGTATCAATAACACCACAAACATTAATTTTAGCAGGGCTAAGACAATGTATACTTAATTTTTCCAATCTTTTGTTAGCATATATAATGCCAACAGCCATGGCTGCAGGTAAGGTAGGGGGGACCACTATTGTTATAATATCAAATGCTCTGAGAATTATCTTGATAGGTTCAACATTTGCTTTTAATTTTAAAATTATAGTGTATACAAAGCCAACAAAAGCTACAAAAAATAAGAAAACGATAAATTTATAACAATCTTGATCAAAATGGAATTCATTAGGAGATGAATACTTGATAGATTTTATAATGTTTCCTTTAACAGTTTGATAACCTGTCCTTATTACAATTGCTTTAGAATATTCAGAATCATAATAACGTGTTTGAATTAATTTAGTTCCACAAAAAAGGATATGCTTAAAATGAATATCTTTATCAAAATGCTCAGTTTTATAGCAATTAGAATATAAAGGCAATGCCGTTTTTGTGATAGGTATACTTTCACCTGTTAGAAGACTCTCATTTACTATACAACTTCCATTTAGTAATATCAAGTCACATGTTAATACTGAATTTGATTTTAATTTTACAATATCACCAGGTACTAATTCAGAAGAAGCAATATTCTGAATAGTATTATTACGTAAAACTTCAATCTTACTCTCTGTATAAGACATCTTGTGCAAAAGAATTTGATTCTTTTGAATTTGAGAGGTAGCAATAACTAAAGAAGCCATTGTAATAAATAGGATACAGGTAGCATAAATTTCATATTCATCGTTATACCAAAGTATTATGCTTAATATTTGAAATATATTAAATGGAGATAGAATTTCTAGAAAAAGAATTTTGTAAAATGGCCAGACTTTAACATGAATCAAATTAGAACCAAAAACAAATTTTCGCAAATACACTTCAGTATCTATTAATGATTTTTGTTCATGAAAATAATTGCATGGAATATTTTCTTCAAATACATTTATATTTATAAAAGAATTAGAATCTGGTTGCCAAATAAAAATATCTTCTTTGTAATTGAATACTTTGATCCATGATGCCTGCTGAAATTTACCAGATGGTTTAGGGAGCAACAAAAAGTTTATCCCATAATTTGAAGCTTTAATATAAACAATTTTTTCAACGTTCTTTTTATTATGTTCACCAATTAAAATATATTGACTCTTAAGAAGTGGTGATTTCTGGTAGGCCCATTTGATATACCAAGCAGGTTTCCAGTAGAAGATCAAATAAAGAATACCAATTGATAGTATTGTAAGTGCCCATATTAAAAAAAAATTATATTTATTATAAGTATAGCCCAATATTTTAATTTTTTCTCCTTTGTAATTTATAATAAAATTTTCCATAATTTAAAAGGCAAAAATTTAAAAAAAATGAAAAATATAAAGATCCACAAAAAAAATATTTATCTAAATAAATTTCAAACTACAAATTCTTAAAGTTGTATATGTGATATTCTTTAAGCTATTCCTAAATTTAAAAATTTGAAATATAACAAGTTTTTTTAAAATTAATGTAAATAGTATTACGAAGAAAAATTTCTAAATATAAAATTTTTTCTTTAGCTCCAATCTAGTTCAAAAAAAAATTAAAAAATATTTTTGATGTTAGCCTTAGCCAAAAATAATGTAAACTTTTTTTATTAATTTAAAATATAAACTCTTTAATTATATCACAAATCTACTTTTGTTAAAATCAAAGAGGGATATAAAGGACCTATGCAGCAACTATTAATGCCATTAATATAATATCATAAATTCAAAACCCAAAAAAAAATGTAAGTAGGCGATATTTATAAGTAGTTATTATAAAAGTTTTACCTTTTCAGATTACTATTGTATATAAAAAACATAATATAATTGATATTCAATTATGTCAATATTAGATGCATGTCACAGATATGTTTCAAATAAAGCATAAATTATGGCATGTCACCTCAGTTCGTCAACTTTTATATTTTAACAAAACTACTTTATTCAAAATAATGTATTGTAAAAGGAAATATATATTGTGTTATATTCCTATAAATGTTTTTATAATAATTGTGATATTTCTCTATATAAAAGTAAAAAAAAATATACCTAATGTAAAAGAAAAAGTAATTATTATAAATTCATATGTTTATAATCTAATATATCTCAAAGCCAAAAATTATATCTATAAATCACGTTCTTAATTTAAATAAAAGAGAATACGAACATATTCAACCCTTTATTTGGAAAAAAAGATTTAAAGGTCTCATTTTCTTTAGAATAAAATATTTAAAATTTTTTAGGCCCAAAAAACACTAAACAGAAAGCAGTTAGAGATGCTCTTTTACATGCCTGGAAGGGTTATAAGTTGTATTCATGGAAATATGATGAATTAAAGCCAATATCAAAAGCAGGCTCCAACTGGTTTGGTATGGGAATTAGTTTGATTGATTCTTTAGACACATTTATTATAATGGGATTATATGATGGTATCAATTAATTTTAAAACTTTAAATTTTGTTATTATAGAATTTGAGGGAGCTAAATATGAAATACAAAATTTAAATTTTACTGAAAATAATAGATATATAAATTTATTTGAAATTACTATCAGACTACTAGGAGGCTTACTTAGTTCATACCATTTATCTAATCACAGATATAATTCATTATTAGATAAAGCAGTAACCATTTTGTTTTAATTCAATTTTATTGATAATGTAATTTTTTATCTATCAATTTTAATATATCTAATGTAATAATAATTATTCTTTTTTTGGAATGTTCATTTTGATTTGTTGCATTTCCCTTAAACATATCTGAACTTATATCATTAACAAACCTTTTAGCTAACTTACAATATCTCAGCTGCCTATATCACTTCCTCCTTCATTCTGGTACCACCACTTCTGGAGCCTATGATAAATTTTTATGATTCAGAATAACTCTAATATCTCATAACTGATCCACATGATTTTATAACCTTCTTTTGGAAATCATATCTAAAAAATGAATAAAAATATCTTCTTTCTTTAATTACCTTCTCTTTCTAACCTTTAATATTCTTGATATTTAGCAGCGATTGTGAAATTTTATATTTTTCTCTAATAATGCAACTCACAATTTTGATGCTGTCTTATATTTGTCTTTTCTATATCATGTTCTCTATCCAGTCTTATTCAATTTGAATTAGCAGGAGATATTCTGGTATAATTATGTTTTCCTATTTCATAGGTCACTAAAACTTGCATCAAAGCCTCTTCCAGATAAGAAATCTACTTTCACGCTACATAATATTGACTTAAAGTTTGTATACACTCGGCTAATCTTTTTGTTTAGAGATGATATGGGGGTGACTATATGACTTACATTGTTTGGTTTAATTCACAGTAACAAAGGGATTCTCCAGATACAAACTGTATTCTATTATTTGACATAATATGTTTAAGTATAAACCTAGCAAACCATTTTTTACAAATTTTGATCATTGCCTCAGCTCAAGTATTCTGCATCAGGTCAACTTTTAACCATTTGGAATAAATCCAATCAAATTATTTAATCTTTAGATTCAACTGACCCTGCCAAATCAATATGAATTTCCTGTCAATTTCTTTACCTACAGTCTAAAAATAGTGAAATACTTCTTGAATTTCAGGTCTGTCTATTTCTCTGGCATCCTGCATATCTTTTAATATAATTTATTATATCATACTCACCTGGGCCACTAGCAATGATCTAAAAAGGTTTCATCACATTTTCACCAGGGTGCCACATTGAATTTTCTAACTCTACATTCATTAATTTAATTGGTATCACCAATCTCCCATGCAGATAATTTTTTGTTGATTGTAAAAACTATCAATTTCTTTATTTTTCTGACGATTAAAACTTTTCCAACTTCTGAATATGTTGTTTTTTTTTAATTCAAAGTCCTGCATTGGCTTTTTTGTAAACTACTTTCTTACACATGCATATTTCCAAATTTATCCTCCGAGTCTATAAAGTATGTTGTAAATCTCGATCATCTTCCATGTAAAATTCAGCAATCATCTTATTACTTACATGCATATATTTTTTGTTTGGTATCAAACTGTTATCATTTATCTAACCCAGATTAGGAATTTAAAAAATTTTTAGCCTAATTTTAAATTTTTTTATATTAATATTATAACATATTATTTTTATCATTAAATAATCATAAAATATTTTATAAACAAAATGGTAGTAAATCAAATTGGCGATGGCAACAGTGTCATGACTGGGAATGAATCTGAATTTTTTACAAAGTACCTTTACACACTTAATCCAAAAATTATACTTTGGCATTGTTTACATCACCTTTTAGAATTAGCGGTGTCCGATACAATTAAAAATGCTAAAGGCGTTAATCATTTTTAAGTCTTTGGCATAATTTATAGTTTATATAGCCACTTTAACAAAAATTAAGAGGCGTTAGATCAAATAGATTTTAAATTGGGCATTCAGTTGTCGAAGATTGAAAGAAGGGTATCTAGCTCTCTTCATACTGTTATTTGGTGTAACTATGAGCATTTTTCAAAATTTTTTCAACATTGCAAAATTGAGTGGGTAGTCCACCAGATCCTAGAATTAGCCTGAAATTATGTTAAGATATTATGATGTACAAGTCAATTATTTTTTTATCATTTCTAGTCAAAAATTTGCTTTAAGCTGGTAGTTACAAATGGAAAAATGGAATTAGTTTTAAATTTTTTTTATTAAATCTTTGATTCCATGGTGAATTTTCCATTTCGCTTTTATGCATAATATTCTGTTTGATTTATCCAATCTTTCTTTAAGGTTTCAGACAAATACAATCAGTTTACCTAACACTGAAGATCAAATATAGTAAACGATTCCATTTTTTATAATTATAGTATTCTATTTACATAAAAACCCCAACATATTTATAAATTTTATTATAGCCAATATAAGGTTTCTATCATATTGAAAACAATATATTGCTCTCCTGCAAAATAACAAAAATGGAAATCTAATAATCTAATTCTTTGACGATAATTTATAACGGAGAACATATGAAAATATCTCAAGAAGCTAAAGGAAAACAGACGGCATTCTTATCAACGAAAATTAATTCGTTACTGTTGTGTTTTGACGAAACCCCGTTGGGGTTTTATGTTAATATATATTTACTTTTATTTTTTTTATATACAACTTTACTACATTTATGAAATTTTCTTCACTTAAAAATATCTTTTATAATAATATTTCTTTCAAAGCCTCCCCACATTGTTTGTCATATTTTGCCCCCTTCGTCCATCATCATTCTTTACTTTTTTTTATATGATATTTCAAATTATAAAACTTTGTTATTATATTTTATTCACTTGAAACTGGTCCTAACCAGTTTTTAGGATGGCCAATAAGTATGAAATCTTTATAAAAATACTTTGATAGATTTCTTTTTTGTCAATAAATTTTTAGCATATAAGAAGAGTAAAATATGTAATCGGGATCATTAATTAATTATGATTTTGTTTTTTTTGCCGAATTGAATTGTACTTAATTCTCGGTTGTTGGATCACGGCTAACTGTTTAATTAAGTCTCATTTTTCTACATAAACTCCAGTTTTGCACAATGACCAAGATGCCCGCCAAATCGTCACATTCATTATGGCGTGTAATAATATGAATTTGTTTCCAACTGAAGCTCTATGTGGATTTTATAATAAATGGAATGAGGGAATATATAGATCATATTAATGAAAGTAATATGTCCCCTTGATTTGAAAGAGTTTTAAAATTGTATTAACTCAGTTCCATGTGTATTGTTGATTGTGAGCACTGTTTTCATCTTATAAATGTCATTATGACAGATTTGCTTGAATTACGTCATTTTTTTATATAACTTTAAATTGCTATTTTATATAATATATATAATGTGTTTTATATGAAAAGCGTTCATATAAACTATTTAAAAATAAATACAAATTTTCGAAAAAAAATATCTCAAATTCTTGGGAAAACAAAATTTTGCTCATCTTCGCGTGCCCCTTACTATTTTTTAGATTGGAGTAATAGCGTGTCCCCGCTGCTAATTTTAAGACTATAACATTGGATTATAATGCATTTTTGATTGAAGCAGCAACCATTATGTTTGTATTTGTATTCATATTATTTTTTTTAGAAAGAATTAGGTGATGGTTTGATTCTTGCATTCACTCAAAGTCCATCAGGAATACCATTTTCTGATGTTAACTTAAAGACAAAAGTGGCTTCATCAGTGGGTTCTTTAGAGAGCACAACTTCAGAAGTAGCAACTCTTCAATTAGAATTTGCCGATTTATCAAGAACTACTCAAAATCTTTTATATATGGTATATGATTATCCCTATAATGATTATGGCCCAACTCAGGGGGTAGCTCTTACAACAGCTGTTTTATTTAAATTTCTATTCGTTGACCTGTCAGATTTGACATATTAAAAAAAATGATTTTTCCTATATCTTTCAAACCTTTAATTAATCCTAATATATCTCTTTTAATCTTTAATCCGGTTCTTTACCTTACTTGCTTAATTTGAATATAGTATTTCATGTAATAAAAAGATTAGTTGAATGTTCCGTTGAGCTATTTTTCTCGGTCTCTATTTTCACGAAAAAATTTGACTTATTAATTTTACATTAAAAATTAAAATGTCTTTTAATATTAATTAAACTTGTGGTCGACGTTTATTATAATATTATTTTGGGTATCAGATACTGGTATTAGTTAAACTTAAAGGTTTTGGTCAATATCCCATACCAAAGTATTGATATTGATTAAAGTTGTTAAAGGATATTTTCCAAATGTTTCTAAATAAAAGACCTACAATAAGTTGACCTAGAGACCTACAAAAAACTTTATGGGAGAAAACCCCACTTAATAGTACTTTCCTCCACATATGAAACTTTTGGATTCGCCTGTGCCCCTATATCTGTAAAAATTTGACTTTCCCCTAAACATATGGGTGTCTATTATGCCTCTGTCTGCATTAACACTTAGCTCATATTTAATTTGGAATAAATTAAGCCAAAAATTTAATCCAACCCCATATCTAATAAACCACTCACTTTATACCAGAAATTTTAAGCATTAGGGTGAATAAAAATTTGAGGATTTTTTATCTATTCGGTAAATATTTTTTTTACAATACACTGAATACACCCCATACAGCTAGAGGTCTTTAAAACAATAGCTCACTCATTATGGGGTTTAGTTTATCTTAAATTCAATTTTGTAAAAGGTATCATGTTTCACTTATAGAAAGTTGCTTTTATTACCTAAAACAAAAAGTAGTCTGAACAATAAAATAATGATATTTCAAAATATGCCAATTTAAGTCTGAGATATAGCATAGGGAACATAGTTCTTCTATAGTGGTTATCCATAAAAATTGGGAAGCCAATTTAGATATTGTTAAATTGGGCTAGACAGCCATTTTCTAATCGATATTTTTAAGGAAGTTGGTTTTTTAGAAAAGTGGATAAGAAAAGGTTTTTTACTTGTGAGGGAAGTCCATTATGGGATTAACAATATTCAATTATAGTGTATAAGTAGTCCACCAGGTATTTATTCTAGTTATTAACTTAATGATCTAATTTATAATTAATAGCATTCTCACCTCATAAATTGTTATTTCTATTATACAGAACTACTCTGACAACGTGTTCCGCTTATTACATAAGATCGTATCTTCTCCACGTTCAAAATTCAGCCCCATTAGAGGCCTGGTTCCGATTTTCATATCCCCTTATACGGGCTTCCTGAACGAAGGGGCTAAAATTAGCTTAGGAGCTAGAGGAGACTCGTACTATGAATACTTGATAAAAAGATGCGTACAAGAGTGTCATGCCATTGGTCTGTGCAAAGTTTCCAGGTTCTTAAGCAAAAAGGACACAAAAAGCCATGTTTTGGGAATGCCCCGAAATCTTTCGGAGCAAGATGTCTTTCGTAATCCATCATTTTATGACTTTGCCTCGAAAGAAGAAAGTCATACGAGTAATTACGACTTTGTGTTTAACTTGCTTTCCGATTACCTGATAGCCGTGGAATCGATGCATAAAAATTTGGTCAAAAAGGTGACCTACACTCTCGATAAATCGTCAGACAATGTCATTGCTAACGATGCTGAAGCGCGCGAATATCTTTACGTTAACGAACTGGAAGGTACAAGATTAGAACCTAAAATGGTAATTATATTTTATAAATTAAATTTTTAGCAGGTTTATTACATTTTTCTTCTTATATTAATATTATTCAGGGACCATGGACCGTTATAAACCTTTATAAATATCTGAACCGATACCGAACCAATGCAATTATTTTTTGAAGGAGTAAAAAGAACTTTTATTAAAAAAAGTTAAACCGGTTTCAGCAAAAATAAAAAAAATAATTTTACATTTTATTACATTCTTTTCCTGGTGGTGTATTACATATTTTACCATATCTGTGTCTATTTATAATTATTAAATGTAAAATATTTGTTTAATATCCATAGAAGTATGTGTTAATTTTTCACTATGACTTAAATTGATCCACAATCTTTTAACTGCTTCATATAGTATTAGAGCATTCCTATTTCCTATATTTTATGCAAATTATCTATATAACCAATTTTTGATTTAGTTGTATTTAGTTAATCCATAAAATCATCAGTTTTTATATATTGGAAATCAAAGAAATTTGAATATCCAAAATTATATAAACTTGCTCTTATAGTACTTGCACAAGTTTCTGTTAAAAGGGCTTTTTTGGGGCTATGTGCCACACACAATGAACAAATATGAATCCACTTATATTTATTACTTATATGTTCAAATAATATATTTGGAAATGAGTTATGATTCTTATATATTTTTTTGATATATTATTCACAGATACTTATAATAAAAATAAATTAATTTCATCTATTTTATAAATAAACAATACAATATTATTAACTTAATATGATGGCAAAAATTTTAATAAATAATATTTATAATTAAAGTCATTATACAATGGTGTTGCTTCAATAAAAAAATTTTTAATTTTAATAAACCTTTACAATTAGCTGAACCGAACCCGAAACTTTATAAATTTTTTCTTAAGAACCGTAACCATGATAATTTTATGCATACTGAACCGTAACCAAACGGGACTGTTATAAATAAAAACTCGGGTCCCTGATATTATTACCACCAATTATTTCCTCTTTGCAAACCTTCATAATTTTTTTTAGTCTTTCTACCTGCATTCTACAGGATCATCTAGTGTGTTTCTTACCCGCTACGCTCGCATACGGGCTGATCCATTACACTCAATTGATATCCTTATTTCCCCAATTCAATAACTCCTTAAATCTCACGATTGGCGATGTATACTGGAACACCTCCCTTCATTTAGAATTGGCTATTGAGCTCACAAATACTTGTTACGCTATGTACGAATTCATGCCAACTGGCCTTGCTCCTGAAATAGTACACTTTGAAAGCGCTTCCCCCAATTTCATTAAAAGAGGTCCCTTTTACGTTAAAGTATGTATACATTGTATACGTTTTTTTTTGATATAACAGGAAACTTAGATTTAAAGTGAGTTCTTTTAATTTCTCTCCACGTTATATTACATCGCTATTTTATTTAGTATAGAATTTTCTTTCCATATTTATTTTCTAATTTAAATATAGAAATTATTTTGTCAATGAGTAGGAGGGGGTGGTAGACCATAAACATGACGGCTTACTAAGTATATTAAAAAGTTAAATTATATTTTTTTTGTTTTCAAATTTTTTTAATACTACAATTCCTTAGGAAAATTTAATCAATCAATTATTGCCAATTTTTTAACATCACAATCTTTTTAAATATAATTTATCTATATTTTGTTTGGAATTATTCATAATCCCAAATCATTTTTATAACACGTTCATTAAAAAGTAATTAAAAGTTTCAGTAAGATCATATTCGAAGCATTTTTTATATTTTTTACATCCTTTACTGCTTACTAATTTTTTCTATTATACTATAAACAATTTATATAGTATTCTGATACTCATAATTTATTGAGGCCAGAGACCATTGAAAGCTTGTGGTATATGTATGAGTTGACCCAAAATCCAATATACCAGGTAAATATTATTTTTTAAAAAAAATTTTAAATTGGGTTTCAAATCATTTTTCATTATTAGTACACTATATAATCATTATTCTTATAAAACAATAATCCTTAAGGAATGGGGTTGGCGGATATTTCTCTCTTTCGAAAAATACACCAAAATACCTAGCGGTGGTTATAGCAGTATTAACAACGTCATGGATACCGATATACCAGATTTTAATAGTCAGTTTACTTCAGGGCGATTCAATGAACGCTTACATATATACTACAAAGATAAAATGGAGTCATTTTTTATGTCTGAAACACTCAAATATTTTTACTTGCTTTTTCACGATGATCAAAATGGCACGCTCAGTGAAAGCTTGATTCCTCTGGATAGATATGTATTTAATACTGAGGCACATCCTTTACCTTTGGGTGGAAGCCTTTAAAATTTAAAATAAAACATAAAATATTTTACTTATTGAAATAATCAAATTCGCGTATATTTTTTTTAACTTTATTTTATATTTATTTATATATCATAAATTATCCACATTAAATGTTGCAATTTTTTTAAAATAATTTTATATAAGAAATTTGTTTTTGTATTACTCAACATGATTGAATATTATATAAACATTTAAGTGTTTTAAAATATTTTGCTATGCTATTCTATTTTTTTTAAAAATAATAATATAATTTTTCAAGAAGAAAATCTGAAATTAATTTCTAAAATATTTCAACCATACAAACTCAAAAATCGTTGTTTTATTTTGAATAAAATTTTACGCAAATCCCATTTTTTTTGTTAATACCTGGCCTCGTCCAGTTAACCTAGATAAAAAAAATTATTACCCAATAATTGCATTAATCGAGCAATAGCAAACCAGCTAATATTAATCTGACAGATTACGATCATAGCCATCTTTAACCTCTATTTTGAGAAGATAGATTAGAGGGGGGGGAACATTTGTAGGATGAATTCTTAAATATTTTACATTCTAATTTAATAAAAGTACTAGATTGGCGATTTATTAATTAAAATTTTATATAAAGAGGAGTCCGCACAGTAACGTCATTTTGTGGTTTACATTTCTACTAATTGTTTTGATTATCATTATATGAATGCAAATATCCATTAATCGACGTCCAAACCGCAAAATAGCGCTACAGTCATTTTTAAATGTATTTAATGATTTAATAGCCAATCTTGTAGTGTATATATTAGCGGCATTAATCATTTTTTAAGCGTGTTTTTTTTAAATTTAAAAATCTGATGTTACTGGAAATGTATTCCAGCATATTAGGAATTCCTATCTAATGAATTTTAGATAATTTTATCGTTAACTTTTGAGTCATTTATAATTTATATAAAAAAATCTATATTCATAGGGAAAGTATCCCAAACATGATTGAATGCTTTTTCGGTAAAATCAAATTTTTAAATTTAAAAAAACGCGCCCAAAAAATGCATTAAAGTTGAAAAATAATATATTGCCAGGAAAAACTCATTGCCGCTAACATATTCATAGTTAAACAATGGTTTCTTTATTTTAAACAAACTTTATTTAAAACAATCTTCAAAAACATTTAAACTAAATATCTTATAAGTTTATAGAATATTTAATAATATGAATTGTAGATAAAAAAAATGTTACGATCTTTTTCATTTACAGTAAAAAGGGGGATTTTTTACATAAGCAAGATGCCCACCATTCACTTCAATTTTATCCACTTCAAATTTGATTCAGCATTACGATGCAGTCTACATTATTAATATCATGGCACCAGATGTTGAAAAAATATAAAATGCTCTTATTAAAAGATATTTTTTTAATACTTAATTAAATTTTATTAAAATTCGAATCAAAATGCCATAATAATAGTAATTTACCAAAAACAAGCTAATTTTTAAAAAAAAAATTTGACATTGTATGTCATACGTCATAAAGCGCATACGCCCTCTAAACGTTGTAGGTACAACAGAGCTACGCTAGGTATTTCTCATTTCCATCTAATTGGATTAAATAAAATTTGGGAAAAAGATAAGAAGCCCTTTACACGTTTGTGGGCAAGCCGTACGTACTTGTACGCACAATAGTCCAAGGACTATTGTTTAAACGTCTGTGGGCTGGTCTGAAAAGGGAGGACCAGTGTAAACAGCCCACACCCAAACCTACAGCCCTATAGAAATTAGAGTAAAAGGGACATGAGGAGGCTTTCTAGATAAAATTAGCATTTATAAGGTTTATGTACAAAATATGAGTAAATAAGAAGTGAAACATGTGCTCATGTTGCGGGTATCTGGGTTATTGAGGAGGGGAGAGAGTAATTGTAAAGGAGGGGATATTATTTCAGATAATTGGACTTAATCCTAAGGAGTTTATTTATGGATTTTTATTTAATTTGGTAAATTGTTTCCAATTTAGGTTCAGGTCTGCTACGTCTTTTAGAACTCGATGAAGCCAAAGTGTCTTGTATTTGCTATATGATTTCCTTTTGCAGGTGAAAAGCCATGTGAGGGCGTCATGGGCCAGGTTGGAATTTAGATGTCTTAGTATATGAGCCAGAAATTGGATGCGTTTTTTCTTTAGTAGAGTGTGAATGGGAGTATGTTTAGATTTTTTCCATAAGTTTTCATTGGAAATTAATCTTGGGTAAAACACCCCATTTATGATCCTTAAACATTTGTTGATAAATGTTTGGCATCTCCTATTGTCGGCTTTAATAATCTCCCATGTCTCGCAACCATAGAGCAAAATTGGTATTACTATAGAATTGAATATCCTAAGTCTAGTATTGACAGATATTTCTCTGGTCTTCCATAGTTTAAAGTATTTATAAAAGGTTGTTCTGGCCTTTTGTATTCTCAACTTTAGTTCATCTTTACATCCTCCTCTATTATCTAGAGTGATTCCTAGATACTTCACTTTCGTGACTACCTTGATAACATCTGATACAATTACAATATTTTCGAAAGGGGGAGTGTGTTTTGCTGGGAGGATCATAGTCTTATTAAAATTTATCTCCAGCCCAACTCTTTGACTTGTAGATTTTAGTAGTAGAATAAGGTTTCGGGTTTCTTCTAGGTTTTTAGTAATAATCACTACATCATCTGCATAGGATATGATTCTGTTTTTTAAATGATATCTGTTATCCTGGGGTGAGTTTAGTTCTAGTAGATCTGCAGCATCTAGGGTATCCTTCAATATTTTGTTCATTACAATGTTAAACAGGATAGGAGAGAGAACACAGCCCTGTTTAACTCCTTTCTTTATTCTAAACGGTGGGGAGGTTATATTATTAAGTCTACATGTGGTTTGCAGATTATTGTAATGGTTCCTCAGAATCCTAATTATGTTTCCGTCCACTCCAACTTCTGATAAGATTCGCCAAAGAGCATTATGATTGACATTGTCGAAGGCACGTTTAGAATCGATAAAGGTGAAAAGGAATGGTAGTTTATATCTATCGCATTTTTGAATGATGATTTTGAGGGTAAGAAAAGGCTCCATAATATTTTTACCAGGACGATACGCACAAATATATTTAGCAAAGAGGTTATGCGATGATCGTAGAATACGGGTCTTGAGTAGGACCATAAAAATCTTGGACGCCGTCGATGTAAGTGCAATAGCCCTGTAGTCACGAAAATTCGTAGGGTTTGAGATCTTGGGGAAGTTGCAAAGAGTGGAGAGATTCCAATCTTTAGGAGTCATCCCCGAAGACCATATTTTGTTGAAGATAATGAGCAAAAATCGTAGTATGGTGTCTAGTGAAGCTTTAAGTTGTTCTCCTGTAATGTTATCTGGCCCGGGAGCTTTGCGGTTTTTTAGTTTCTTTAGAGCAGTGGTAATTTCATTAAGTGTAAATTGGGAGGTAGATTAGTATATTGTTCACATGTCAACCTCACGGGTTTCCTGGATTCGAAGATGTTCATGTGGTAATCTGTCCAGAGTGCCATTTGATCTTCCTGGTCGAATATAACTTTATTATTATCTAGCCGGATGGATGGTAACTCTCTAAAAATTTTTGATTTACAAAAATACTTGAGTTTGTTATAGGCGTCAAAGCGTCTGTTTCCTCGCATGTCTACATCAATCTCATATGCTTTCCTAGCAGTAAAGATTCTTCTGTCGCTTCTTAGAGATCTTTGAATGATTTTCCAAAGTTCCCTATCAAAGCAGTTACTAGAGCGAAGCTCCTCAATTTTTTGTAGGGTATTTGTGGATATCCATTCATTCCTTGCCAAGGAATTGTTAGTTACTAAGACTTTGCTTGTTGCTTCATGAATGTCACCTTTAAACAGCATCCAGCATTCTTCCAAAGTATTAAATTGGGATATATTTACAAACCTAGTTACCTTTTCTCGAAGTTTCTGGTCAAAAAGATCTCTAATTTCGGGCATTTGGAGGTTCCTAATACTTTGTCTTCTAAGACCGTTTGTTGGTTGGTGTAGGGTGTAACTGGGTCCTGCTGAGACTCTCCATAGGTTCCTAATCCATATCTTGGCCTTGATCATTCTATGGTCTGATATGTTAATACTCCTCATGGCTACTACGTCCTTAAACCACCAATGAACATTCGATATGAAAAAGTCAATTTGTGATCTGTAACCCCTCTTTTAAAGGTAAAGGTGTCCACCTCCCTATGAGAGAAAAAGGTATTTTCAATTGTAAGGTTTTTACTACTACATAGATCCAGTATTTTCCTGCTATCCTCGCAATTTGGCTGAACAATAGACGACGCATTACCGATGATCCCCCTTCTTATATAGCTTCCTCCAAACCAATTCTAGTGTTTAGATCACCCATCAAAATAATGTTGTATCTTTTGGGTAAGGTATTGATAATATTTTATAGGTCATCAAGAAAATGTAATCTATCTCTTCTGTTCGGAGGTGCATATATATTCATCAGAATAGTTGGTCTGAAATTGGTGTTAACGTATAAAAGCCCACATCTTTCCGAGATAGGTACAAATTTAACAATATAATTATATATTTTTTTGTTTATCAGGAAGCCAACACCAGACCAGCTGTTAAGAGTAGTGCCTGAACCATACAATATGAAATGGTTAAACGTGGCATAGGTGTTTCCCTGACTATGGGTTTCCTGTAATGTAATTATATCAATTTTCTCATCTGTCATCATTTTTAGCTTAAACATGGCATTAATAAAATTGTTTGATTTTTGTTTAGGATAATTAAATATTTTAGTATTACAAAAAGGATAATATCATTTTATTTCTTTTCATCATCTGGTGTACCCTTCATTTTTATATAATATGCCGGACCTCAATCCTTAATATTAGAGACATTTTAGGCTCTAAATAAAATAATAAGAATAACAATATATGGCCCGATAAAATGCAAGTTAATAAATATATATCGTCGCTCTAGATTTAGGTTATTCTATATACACTTTTTGTCAAAAATGACTATGTTACATATATTGAACAAGAATAAATACTATAGAATAAATTGTGTGTGATTGTATTTCATAATTAAGGAGGAATGATATGATAGTCTTTATTGATTATATTATTAGAATATTGACGTTGATGTAATGTCTTTTTATTTTATAACATGGTTATACAAAAGAAAACAAGTGGTCTTTTTATTTAATAATATGGTTATACAAAAGAAAACAAGTGGTCTTTTTCATTTAATAATATGGTTATACAAAAGAAAACAAGTGGTATTAGAAAATAAAAATATATATCAATATATATATGTTTAATCGCCTTGAGATGTATTTATATACATGTTAATTTCATTGAATAAAAAGATAATATGAACATATTTAAATATACAATTACAATAAATTGAATAAGCGAAATATTTAAGAAGTATTTAAATATACAATGAATTACAACAAATTAAGCGAACATGCAACAACATATATCAATTTTTTATTATTAACTTCTATTTACATTTTGATGTATGTGTGATATAATTTTATTAACACTGCGAGCGCTGTAACACTATAAAATGATTGTTTTAATTAAATTAATATATATATAAAGGAGGAGAAATAATAAAAGATACTTCTCACCAATATAACATACATAAAAATCATCCATACTAAGCTGTAATTATTTATAATTCTATCTATTAATCGCTATGGTTTGTGTTACGCGGCTAAATTTTACTTAATATAATTTTTTTATTTAGAATGATGTTAAGTCGTTCACTGCACAACTATTTTGAATTGTAATAAAATAAAAATTTCCACCAGAAGATCCCATGGAATTAAAAAATATAAATATTAAAACAACAATATATTTTATTTATAACTAGATTTTCTTAAATCCTTTCGTATTTATATGTTAAAAAGAAGGTGTGATGACAAATTACGAACAATGCTTTACATTTTATTTATTATAAATTTAATTATTCAAGGCAGTAGCGTCCCTACGAGGGGTGGGGACGCATAGGGGCCAGACCCCCCCCCCCCCTAAAAATTTGAAGAGCACTCTGAAAATTGTTTTTACCGTCATTTTAAAAATGTTATCTAAAAAATAAATATTGAGATTATAGAGGCTAGTGACGCCCTTGATTAAAAAAATTAATAAAACTAGATCTTCGCACTGGCCCTGCATTCGTCTAGGCATCTTAGGACCTAAAATTCATAATTGGTGGCGAATCATAAATAGTGGTAAATCATAAATAGTGGCGAATAATTAAAATTGTGAATAAAGTGATTTCAAACATACAAACTGGAATAGGATTAGACCTAATTATTTTTAAATTTAATCAAATATCAAGTGGATAAAGTGATTTCAAACTTCAAACATACAAACTTGTATAATAGGTTTAGAACTAATTATTTATAAATTTAATCAAATATTATAAGGTTTGATAATGGATCTTCTCAAAAGATCGAATCATGATCTTTTCAAAATATATGGATGCAAATTCTTTTTCCTTTATGAAGCATATTTTTCACTGGTACATTTTTACTAAAATTAGGATTGTTTATGTGATAAAATCCTGAAAAAAATTATACCCTATGCCTGTCAACTAAAACAAATTCTCTCCAATAGGCGTTGCTGTGCTATTCATATTACCTTCATTTTTCCAGTAACATCCATATGATATATAGCATTAGACATAATATACAAATTTGCTAAATATCGACCATTATATTAAAATATAATAAGATAAGAACCATTTTTATTTTAAGATGTATGACTAGAATTATTTTGTCGTATTCAATATTCTATATATCATGTCCGCCGCACACAATCACTTTCTTAACTTCAGAAAAACTCGGAACCTTCCTGTATTCGAACTCAGATCTATGCGGTAAATGACATGTCCAATCAATGACTAGACCACAATAAGCTATTTGAAACACATGATATTTTTTTTATCTATATCACATAAGATACCTAATTTTTATATAAATATATATGTTTTTATTAACTTTAAAAAATATATTTTATATAAAAATTTATTCAACATTTTGTTTATAAGTTTTTTCAGAAATTTTTTTCATACATTTAATTTTCAAGAATATAAATACGATTATTTTATAATCTTTTCTCTAATAAGATTTTTTATTAATTCTTTTCTATCATAAAAATTAAAAATTTTATTTACTATAAAAAAATTCATAAAGTGCTGTAAACGTTACTTCAAAATAAACGCGTTACTCATTCGTCAAAAAAAACAAGAGCTCGTTACCGTTACTCGTTAACTTGTGAAAAAAGGAACTCATATAAAACTGGCTATTCAGAAATTAATGTGTTACTAGTTATTTGAAATATTAAATAATATATATATAATTTCCTATATATATAATATAAATAAATTTATGCAAAAATATTATATTATAAGATATATATTTTTATAATAATTTTTATTTATTTTTAACAGCAATTTGTTTTCAAAATTTTGATCAAATAAACAAGAGAGTGCTCAACACATCTTTCGTTGGGCTAAAAACACGTTCAACTGTTGCAAATGAAGGGAGGGCTCTATTATATTTAATAAATAATAATTTTAATAAGGGGGATTTATTAAAAATTAATGAATAATTTCTATTTGGGAAAAGGCTTAATATCTTCTTGATTTAGATCCTCATCAAATTTTTTTTATCATTATCAGAAAATAATCTGGTATGTGTGTTATTTTTTAAAGGAATCAAAGTATGCTTTTTCTTTGTAAAGATATTTTATCAAACGGGAAATAAGTTGAAACTTTCTATTTTCGCGGACCTATAAATATCAAAGGCTAATATAATTTATACAGTGGGTTAATTATTGCTGATTTTATATATTCATCTTTATAGATTAGTTCAAATCTATCGAAAATACAGATAATCAAAATATAAATTACAAACAATATTTAAACAGCATACCTTTTATCTATGTCTTATATGATTGCATTAATAAGTAGGTTACAAAACTTGAAATTATTTAAAGAAATTTTTTAAATGTTTTAATAGTATAATAGTTATCGTGTGAGTGAGATATTACATATGTTCTAAAATCAAAAAAGACGTAGCAATCTATTCCAATAAAATTGAAGTGACAGTGCTTCATTTACGGGAAGCATAGTATGAGATACCTCGCCAGTCATTGTAAAATTAAAATCGTTTATTTTTATAAAATTTTATCTTGTTTACATTCTTTTATATATAAAAAAGATCGTTGGTTTTTTTTATATAAATTAATATATTTTAATAAATCAAGATGTTATTTTATTTTGAAAAATAGTTACCGACTTTGTATTTATATAAACTAAATAAAAAATAATAGACAGATAAAGAAGTCAATTCAAAATCCCGGCCGAAGGCCCGCAAATTTTTTTTTTAGCAATTTTTATATTTCTCCCGCATAATACCGAATTTCTCCTGCAATTTGAAAAATTTGACCTGGCAACCCTTTTCAGAAGACAGCGTCTACATGAGCAGGAGGGGTAGGAACAGTTTGAATCCTATTTTTTGAGGGTGGTAGGGGATAGGCTGCTTTAATGGGAGTAGGATAAATTTTTTTGGGGGTTATCTATTAAATTTCGAGATGAAATAGAACAAAATTTATTGCTGTAAATTATACTTTTATTATAGAATTATTATAATAAAATTCATCGACCAATTGCAAACAATCATACACATTGTTTTCCAAATAAATCTTTCTGCTATCCTTTTAAATGTAATTTAAAAGGTTTAGATATTTCAGCAAGCTCATAATGCCATAATAATTAATTCATTATAAATAATGGAGGTTTTGATTGAATTTATTATCTAAAAAATAAATTCTTTATATTCACAAAATATCGATAGTTGGTAGTAAAGATAGATTAATTTTAGTCATCATAGATAAATTCTCTGAAAAGAGTATCAATCAATTAAAAAGGTGAAAACAATAATAGACCAACACCGCCGCCGAAGACAGTGGAATTTTTTAGGGGGGTAGGCAAAGGTTTTTGAAAGGGGTTTGCATCCAGTGAAAATCCTGTCATGTAGACGCTGTCAGGAGAGATCGAATTGATAAAATAAACATTATTAGTCTTAAGAATTGCGATCCTCTGCCTAAAGTAAAAGCCTGCCCGAGGTTCTTTGGAATTTTTCCTGATTAGGCGGCCAACGTCTTTAAAAAACGTTTAGCGAAATCACCATATATTGTAAAAGTGGAGCAGATAATTGGTACGAATATGTATTAGAAAAATCAACGCTGTATTTGGTGATCTTAAATTTTTTGAGCTCTGTTCAGAGCATCCTTGTTGAAATTGGAAGGGGAGTTCGTGTCCAATCAAGAAAAATTCCATATTGGATCCTTGTGACCATGGAATTCGTGTAACTCCATCAACACTCCACCAGAAGGTTCCAATGAGGTAGAAAAACCAGCTGATCTAAGTACAAGAGATATGATTTGTTGCATCTCGAGTGCCAAATTTTTTTTACCGTAGTAGAAATAATATTAGTTTTTTTTTAACTTAAAGCTTATACTTATTAATAAATAAATATTCGAATCGAAATATACTCAATAAAATATATTAACATTGTTAAGCCTTCCCTTAATAAAAAAAACTTTTATTTAAATACGGCACGAGTATTTTTTTTATCTCCATCTTAATGCTCGAAGGTTTTTAAGCATGAGGCTACTCTCACTGTGCACATATGTAATTTTCAGCCTTCCAAAAGTTGATGGATAAAATCTTCATATAATTTTAACCTTTAAAACTTTATCCAGTTGAATAGGCATGAGAAAAATCAATATCTGTTATTTTAAAACAACAAAAGGGAATAAGATTGTAGAAAAATGACGACTGACAACATTTCTATATGTTTCAAATAAATGACAATGGCACATCAAAATTACTTGATTATTTGATTGATGTTTACCACCTGTTCGAGATTTATTTTATAATTTCGAATTTTACAATTTCATGGGTCTTATTTTTACGAAATTTAAAGTATATTTGAAGAGGTTTAAGGTATATTAAAACTAAAAAAAGACACTATTTCATTATTTACTATTTAGCATAAATCCTCTATTGAAATATTGGAAAATATTGATAAGGTAATATTTTATATAATATATAATGATACATTTGATATAGGATATAAAGGAACTAAATGAAATACGTGATTTTAACATGTTAAAATTTAAAAAATATTATTTAAAAATTCTGTTTTTTGCTTCGCTTATCATGATAATTGGTTTAATTAGTTTTTATCTATACTTACCATCTAAATGGGAAGCAAGATTATATTTTAGTTGCATATTATTTTCAATTCCATTTGTGTATGTTTTTATAGCCATAAATTATACAACAATTTCTCTTTTTAAGGGTTTGGGTTCTAAAAAATGTTTTGAAATTATATTATGAAAAATGTAAAGCAAATTCAGGTTTTTCTACATTATTTATATTATAATTAATTGTATAAATATAATGTAGATATTAAGATAAAACAACTTCTCAAACAAAAGAATGATATACTAAATAATGTAAAAGAAACAGAAACATACAAAAATGCCATAGAAATTTTGAATAAATTTGATCAACACATAATAACCAATAAACAAGAAAATAGTTTACTTAATATAGACAATGGTAAAAATTTTATAATTAAAATCATCACTAATATATATTTAGATAATTTAAAATTAAGGAATAAAATCAAATCATCAAATTTAGAAGAAATAGAAAGTAATAAATAGTATAATATTATATTCAATTGAAACCTTATTTAGATCATAATTCAAGATTAAGGAACAATTCCCACAAATCTATATCAAGTAACCTAGAAGAAATAGAAAGTAACAACTATATAATATACTAGTATCTTTATCCTATATTATTACATTTAGATAAAAATGTAAGATTAAGGAACAATGCCAACAAATCTATATCAAATGTTATTGAAGAAATAGAAAGTAATAGCAACTATATAATAAGTCTACTTAGTGGGTAAGTTTATTTTCTAAAAAGCCACAATAGTAAATGAGGTAGGGGGATTCGCTATATTATGTATGGCAATATTACGATTACAAAATGAAAATAAATCTCACAGCATTTACTGAAGGAACATGTTTTTTTAATTATAATTTTAAAATTAAAGATTCTTCTTCTAAACTCAAAAGTAAAGGAGATTTGACTGGTGTTTCATTTAATATTTCATAATCATCTGTGGTTTTATTAGTTGGTCATAAACCTTTTCCCTGAAACACATAATTAGTAGGTGTCTGCAATGGATAGATTTTTAACCCACTCATTTAACATGGGTGGGTTAGTTATTATAAATACAGTCAGGAAAGTGGGTGGATAAAATTTTTTTTTTAAAAATTAGGCTTCCATTTTTGATATAGTGATGTTCAACATAGAATTTCAACAGATAGGCAGATAAAGGTGTGACTGAGGAGAGTGCTATATACCCAATGATGTCACAATATATTTGAATTTAAAGGTACTGGTTTGATTTGAATATGTGTGTGCATGTATTTTGAAGATCAATTTTTTTGAATTCATATTTCAATCTGGAAGTATATTAGCTATTCCAACAACTCTGAACAAGCCTTTAGCACTGATGGAAGATTTCTTGAAAAAAGAGAACTTGTTTGAATCCAGAAAACAGATGCATTATTATTTTTACATAATTATAAATAATAATTGAACTAAAAATTAACTTATGATTTGTTATAAATATTTTATCATATTTTGGATTTGATGGGAGTAATTTAAATTTATCACCTATATCTTTTATTATACTAGGAATTAATTCATATACTTATTTTATATACTATTTATTCTAATTATAAAACAATATTATATGGAATAGAATGATAAAAAATGTTTTATAAAAATTTATTTTTTTGGTTGAATAGTTGCGGTGACATGTTGCTTATAGTAAACACGTTATCTTTAAGCATTGCATTATTTAACGCTGTGTTATGACAGCAGATTGAGTTTTAAAAACTAATTCAAGATAAAGCTAAAATAAATTTAATTATTTTATATAATATTTAAGAAAAATCATATGACACAATGCATGAATTTAACATGTTTACTAAAAATAAGACCTTAGATGAGTGGGCGATTTTTTTTATTAATTTTTTTTCAAAACCAAGAATATTTAAAACAGGGGGCCAATCTATGGGTTAAGAATCTACCTTTGGACCTCTAATAACTAGTCCATGTAATTCATGATTATATTTTTGGCTAACTGCTCGATTCTTTCATTTAATTTAATATTATTAGAAGGTTCCAAATAATCTCTTATGATCTATCATCATATATGAATATCCACAAATACGCCTGAAATTAATCAATAAATCAAAATTTTTATAGATAATATAACGATTTAAAAATTATAATTTGATTTTTTTTTAAAGGGTTCATAAATTATTCATTGAGGGCTGAATATATAGGCAGGGGTTGTATCAATAATTTAAGGGTTAATTTCTACTCATTACCACCCACCTCCTTCACATTTATCAAAAACTTTCACAGGTTTCTAGAAATTACATTTTCATTAATACAACATCAGGACAATATAATGTCAAAATTAGCAAATTTTTGTTGTTTTAATTAAAATTTGAGAATGTTTGTTTTATTATTTAAAAAGATTTCTTATAATATTTTATATCTTAAAATTAATTAAATTTATTGTAAAAATTTGGTAACACTTTAATGCATAAACTTGATAATTTATGCATGTAATAAATAATGAATCACAAATAATGCATAAATATAATTGGTATAAAATTTTTTATTAATTTGTAAAATAATATCTAGCTATTTGGTATTGTAAATAATACCTTTAAAAATTTTTTATTTAAATTTTAAAAAATCGGAGTATATTGAATATATTAAAATCAATGATTTAAATGCACTCTTCTTTTTTAAAAAATATATCCCATTTTTATCATTAATAGTAAATGATTCGACGGCCATTTTAGAGATTTACACTAAAAGTCAATGTTCATTATAATTCTCATTTTTGAGTTGATCATTATAAAGAGTTGATCATTTTTGGAGGTATCACTATACCACGATCCAAAATATATTCCTCGTATAATCTTTATAACAAAAATAGTTTAACCCCCCCCCCCCCCACACATTCAGAAAAGATAATAAGTTTTTTACTTATGGTGCAATATCTACTCAGTGGGTATCTAATACAATATAATATTTTTATTTGCATAGAAACTCCAATGGTTAATGGCAGAGATCATAATATCCTACGGTATGTTCAGAATAATTCCGCGAGCGATGTTCAACCTAAAACTCCACGCCCAATTTTACCGGCATCAGTTGTCATTTCAAAAAGATTAGCCTTCGATAAAGATGCAAGATTAAAATTCCAAAACTCGAAAAGTTACGCTGATAAGTTATTGGAATACATCATCGGAGATGGGAATCCTACTTATAGATATGCCTTGATATGTTCCGAATGTTTTTGTCATAATGGAATGGCCATGAAAGAAGAGTATGAATTCTTAGGTTATTATTATTTTTTGTTTTAATTATACTTTTAAATGTAAATAATGTTTTGATTTATTGAAATTCTTGTTAGAACCAATTCCTGGAAATTTTAAAAATGTTTTCCGGTTATCATAAGTTTTTTAAAAGAGTGATCCCGGTCCATAACTTCTAGATTTGTGGTATCCAAATTCTGATAGTTGTCTCTTTTTTAATCAGAACTGTGAAATTTTCTTTAAAATGGTAACTTATATGCTAAGACTAATTTGCCAAATTCTTAAAATGAATGAAATACATTTGCCTATTCCTCCACGCTTCTTCTTTTCCGTTTTATGGCGATTTCCAGGTTTACCCGGATAGGCCAGTTTCCCTAATTTTTCTTTTCCATTTTTGACGGTCCTGAGCATCAATATTTGTAAGATTCATGCTTCTCATATCCGCCGCTATCACATTTGTCCGTCATCTTGGGTCTTCCTCTAGGTCTTGATCCTCCTACTTCCATAATTGTGAATTTCTAGTCATCTTTTGTCATACGTTCCACATGCCCAAACCATCTTAGTCTATTTCGTCGCATTACCATTCCCATCAATTCTATACCCAATCTTGCTCGCAATTCCTTGCTAGTTTTTCTCTCTCTCCGAGATACCCCACACATCCATCTTATCATCCTCATCTCTGTTCTTTCTAATTTGGCTTCGTGAGTCGCTTTCATTGCCCATGTTTCGCCACCATAAACTAAACAACTCCTCACACAGCTTACGTAAACTTTCCCCTTTAACTTCAGAGGGACTTTTTTATTTGTAAGAATAGATGACATCTCTCTAAATTTCTTCCAAGTTTGTCTGGTCCTTGCAACAACGGCAGAATCTACACTACCATCTGCGTTTAGCATATCACCTAAATAACAAAACTTATCCACTTTTTTTAGGGTTAACCCATTGCCAATATCCAGACCACCATTTTCTAGGTTATCATTATTATGTATCCCTTTCATGTTCTACAAATAAAGGTCATTCTTCCTAACATCAAACTTCCTTTTTTTCCCGCTACTAAGTACCCATTTCTGGCATCGGGTGCATTGGATACAACTCCTTTCCCACATACACCACAAGGCCACTTACCGGATTCCTCCATCTTTAGATTTTCCTTATCAATAATCACCTTTGTCTTTGATGCATTCATTTTTAGGCCCTTTGCTTCCATAGTCATTTTCCATTAGCTAATTTTATCCCTCAATTCTTCCTCACTGTTTGCCATTAATACAAGGTCATCTGCATATAATAGCTCCCAGGGAAGTCCTTCACGCATTTCTTTAGCCACCACATCCATTACTAAGATAAATAATAATGGACTCAGCACGGATCCTTGATGAAGTCCTACCTTCACCTCATAGCTGTCACTATCACCATAATCCGTCCGTACTGCTGTTTGTGATCCAACTTACATTAACATCACTGCGATAACCAACCATTCCACCACACCTGATTTTCTCAAGGCCCATCTAGTAACCTCACGCGGCAACCTATCAAATGCTTTCTCCAAATCAACAAACGCATAATAGAGTTTCTTTTACTTCGCAAGATACTTCTCCTGCATTTGTCTCACCACAAAAATTGCATCTGTCGTGCCTTTTCTCGATGTAAAACCAAACTGCATTTCATCAATTTTAAGTTGTTCCCTTATCCGCTTCTCTAACACTCTCTCAAATACTTTCATTGCATGTTCCAAGAGTTTAATAGCTCTGTAAGACCTGCAATCTAAAGGATCACCTTTCCCCTTGTATATTGGGATAACTTCTTCTCCAGTCCTCGGGAATAGTTCCTTCTGTTACAATTTGATTGGCTAAATTCATTAACCATTCAATCCCTAAATCATCAGAACCTTTGAACATCTCTGATACCATCATCGTTAAACCCGATGCCTTTCCTTTTTTCATCTTTTTCACTGCTCTCTTTATCTCGTCTTTGCCAAATTTACATTTTGGACCTTCTATCTTTGCACAACTAACATTATTTCCCATTCATTTTCTTTATTCAAAAGTCCTTTCATGTAAATCTTCCAGGTGTTCTTAATACCACTACTATCAATCACCATTTTTCCTTCCATATTTTTCAACACCCATCACATCCTGCCTCTTTTTTGACATCTGTTCGAACCATATTTCGAATTCCATCAGCGCATTCCATTTCTTTAGCAAACTCATGTCTTTTTTCTTCTTGAGCCATCGCTATTAATTTCTTAGCATTTCTTTTAGCCATCTTGTAAATATCGTTATCACTATTTTCTTTGCTATTATACCATACTTTGAAACACTCATAGCTTCCTCCCTAATCGCCAATGTCATATTGAATTGACGTCTAGCATTCTCCTCCTTCAATTTCCAAACCTTCAGCCTTGGCACAAACTTTCTTTTAGTGACCCTGGCACCTTTAAGAGTGAGATCTCCTACAACTAGTCGATGCTGATTTATACATTCCTCTCCCGGTATCACTTTCACATTTTTTACTATACATCGATCACATCTCCTTAATAACAAGTAATCCACTGCACTTTTAGTACTACCCGACTTATAATTCATCAGCTTCTCTGATTCTTTCTTAAACATTGTATTACAGATAATCATATCCGTAGCATCACTAAAATCTAAAATCCTCTCTCCTTCCAAATTTCTCATGCCGTAACTGAACCCTCCATGTACTCTTTCATAACCCTCACTACTCGCTCCCACATGTCCATTCAGATAACCAGCCAGGATAATCCTCTCTTCATTTGCCAGTTTCGATGTCACCCCCAATAGACTGTCCCAAAATATATCTTTCTCTTCTTCACTTCTTCCAATCTGAGGAACATATGCGGAGATAATATTATATAGCTTTCTACCAAAAAACATCTTGATAGCCATTATCTGGTTATCTAGCCTTCTTACTTCGACTACTTTGTCTAACAATTTCTCCGCAACCAATACCCCAACTACTTTTCACTAGTCTTGCCAATCATTCTGGTCCCATTTCCTTTTCAACTATCTCCTGTATGCAGCTCACATCTATATACCTTCTGTTCAATACATAGACGACTTCTCTCGCTCTTCCCGTCATACTCCCAACATTCCATGTCGCGACCCTAACTCGATCCCCCGTAAACTGGTTTCTCCACTCGTCCATGCTTTGTTTTAACTATAGGGAAATTTTGTAGCGAGGTTATTACAATCGGATGCCCTTCCTGACATCAACCTCTTTAAGTGGTTACACCCCGTCGACGAGACGGTAATTTTATTCTAGACCCAGATCATAGAGAATCTTTTAGACCTCCATTAGCCGCCAAAAGACGTTGCCACGATGAGGCTGAAGGTAGGATTTTGGTAGAGCTATTCCTCCACGAATAAAATAAAGAAAAACAATCAAGGATTAGTTTTAAATTTTACATACTTTTTATATTTATAGCGTTCAAATGTGCGTACTGTAGTCATTTTAACCACGCAAAAAAGAATAAACCAAAGGTCCAACTTACACCAGAAGATTCGCCGAAAGAAAATCACGTGAAAGCATTAACTTTCAAGGAAAACGGTGATTAATATTAATAATACGCATAATGTATACACAACAATTTAAAACATTCGAATGTTATATCGTTTAATTTTTTTGCAGTCCTTCGTGAATTATAAACGCCGCTGTTGATAATCCAACATTTGAGGGCTTTTTTTTCTATTTGATTAAGCTATTTTTTTTTATTTGAATTCGAAACCTATTCCTAAAATGCAAAATTATAAACGTGTAATATTATAATTATATTCCTATATAGGTTTTGAGCCTGAGCCCGCTTTTTTTGTCTTTGCTAAAAGCTAAATTTTCACCATGTAAAATGTTGCTATTTATGGCGTTTTATTTATTGCTTTTATAATAAGCCAAAAAAATAACAAATAAATTACTGGAAGAAAAAAAAACTCTCTCCTACATTTTCTTTTTGCTATCCATTCTAGGACATTATTTTATAGTCAAGATAAATATTAGCACAATTATTTGTTATTGTATTATCATATTGTTTCTTGTCAAGATACTTATAATAGCACTTTTAAACTGTAAATTATATCCCATATCAATATCATATTTGCGTCACAATCATACGATGAATCCGTTTTATAGCCCAATTTTAATCACATTTAATTGTTATCTCATTTATTAATGCTCGTAAATTATATATTTAATATATGATACTAAATGAAACTTTAAGAAAAATTTTTTTTTCTAATGTCTCAATTCATAAGTAAAGTTATCTATTAGACTTATTCAAAAGAGAATGCAAATCGAATAATGAATTATTCGTGTTAGATTATTTTGAAAGAATCGAATAATTAACTATTCGAATCCGTACGAATAGTAAAACGTACTATTCTTATTTTTTTGGTATAATTGAGAATAATAAATTATTCAATTGTATACGAATAATATATTATTCGATTTGAATTCGTCTTTGAATAGGCTTAATTTAAATAGACACTGTATGTAAAAAAATATTATACTACATCAGAGATTTGTCAAGCTTGGTCAGTTTAAGTTTTTGCACAAGTTGCCCGGTCCCATCGGGTATTAAAATTTTTGTCTTCCATTCTAGCCTGATACATTTTTTTAAACAAATTTCCCTGGTCGTTAAATTTTACGAAAAGTCATTTAAGTTTTTTTTATACTTAAAACGTGTTTGATACCTGTGTTGTGTTATTGGGATTGGATTATATAAATAACTTGTTTATTTGAAATTATGGTGTTATTATAGATTGAGCATTTTAGTTAAAGCAAATTGTAATAATTTATTTTCAAACATATCAAAATTTTTATTCCTTGCTGGTTAATTAAAATTATTATTTTATATAAAAATGGAATAAATTATAGATTTAATTTATTAGGGTCCATAAATGAAAAGAATTATACTCATTGTCGTTATTTTTTGTTATTCCAAAGAATATTAATATAAAGATTTTAGGCTCGGCCCATTAGTTTTTTTGTGTATTCCAGACCCGTTATAATTCACTTTGAAATTGGTCCGAAGGCTGGGCTTTCGGGCAGGCCAAATTTTGCATTTCTCTATACTATATATCTGATTTTAAACGAGAAAACCAATGTACAATGTTATATCTTGATACTGTCAAACGTCCTTTTTTTCTGGAAGAAACGTGTGCAAAGAGGCTTTACCTAGGATAGGACGCTTCCAAAGGTGTTCATTCAATATTACTACATTATTTTTAATTTACTATTAAAATCCATGAAATTTCTTTACAACATAAAATATAAAATAAGATTGTTTTATTAAATTATTCGTCGTATTTGTATTTATTCTTAAAAATATAAATATATTTTTTTGGTTGATTAAAACTGAGTTTGTAAAAGGTCTATTCATAGACCTTACCTGCTATAAAGGGAATAGCAGTAGCATTATTAGGTTAGTTTTTTCCCATAATGTTTTTTGGAGATCTTTAAAATCATCTATTGCAGAACTTTGGATATATTAAATTTTTTATAATTTCGATTTTTTACTTTTTCTAAATTTTTGAATTACAGTCATTATTTTAAAAATTTATTAACTTTAGCTTATTTTTCTTTCAAATTATTATCTAAATTATTAGCTTATTTATCATAACTTGCAAATTCTTGAGAGTGGGAGGATTCCCCCTTCTCCATCAATACTTATAGTTCCATTTATGGAAACGATTCTATATATTTCTTCTATTTCGACATCGTTCTAAAACAAAATTCTACAAAACTAATTTTATATTCAAAATTTAGTGAACTCATCATGCAACGTCTAAATGACAAAAATTTCACTGGATGCAAACCCACCTCAAAAATTTGATTCAACTCCCTAAATAATTTTCTCTCCGCCTTTTAACATTATTAATATTACCTCTATGATTGTATGAAACATAAATTTGGCCGATGTTTAGCAATAACATTGTATTATAATATATCTATAATCGAAGAATTAATCTTTAGTGCAATATATTCTGCTATATTATATCCAAAAATTTAATAAATATCCCTCCAATAGATTTATCTTACACTAGTCTACCCTCCTTATAGGCCTACCCCCTCTCAAATAAAATTGAATGCAAACTGTTCTTACCCCCCCCCCCCCATTCTTTCCTTTCTTGTAGACGCTCTCATGAAAGGTGCAAAAAGTTATAAAATAGGAAAAGCAAAATTTCGATTTTTTTTAACTTGCTATAAATTACAAAAAATCACGCGATCTTTTTTAAAATATGGACCTTTATAAGGCAATATAATATTGAAAATTTCCCCGAGTTTCAGTGAGTTACCATATATTGTATTTAGGATACTCTAATTTAACAAAAAATACAAGTATAATATTTGGAAAAGATACTAGTATCTGTATCTAGATTCATTAAAGAATCTGTATCGAGATTCTTTTTTTGGTGGACCTGCCTAACTCTGGTATGTATTAATAAATATGTTGACTTTAAGACTATCAAATAAAATTTAAAATTATTAATTACTTCTAAATGCCTTTTGACGTTTGAACTACTAATCTTTGAAGAAGATATTATCGCTTACATAAAAAGCATTTTGCACTGATCATTGTATAATTACTTCTATCCGTTTCACATAAAATACGTAGGTAATTTATGAAATGCTAAAAGATTCCCATTTTCACTCATAGGTGTAGCCAGGATTTTTCTAAAGTGGGTGGGGGAATTGAGACCCCATTTTGGGCCGGTCTTAGGCCCGCTTTTGCCGGCCTTCTGCAGGGTTTTCTTAGTTTATAAAATATTTTTACAAGATAGGGAATAAATTTTAATAAAAAAATATTATCTTTATTTTGAATATACGAAATTGTTTAAATATCAAAAAATAAGTTTGGAATAAATAAGAAGGATATTTTTATTAAGTTATATAAAATATAATAAATTACATATATATGCATTAATACAAAAACGTTTAATAATTTATAATTTTAGATCTAATTTTCTTTTAGAATTAGATAATTACTGGTGTTAATTCCCGATGAATATTTATGAGTGCTAAGCCATTTAATCAATTTGCGAGGTAGTATTTCACAGGGATCCAAACTGAACCTGAACCAAACCATTAAACCGCTAAAAACCGGTATTTTTTATCAAACCTAAACCGAACCTAAACTTTTTAAAAAATTTCCAGCCGAACCTGAACCGAACCGCTAAAATACCAACCGGTTCGAGTCTTATAATTTTAATTATAATCGAAATGTTTTAAAGATTATTATCAATCGCATTTAATTAATAAGTGTCATTCATAATTTTTATAAACTTTGTATATTGCAATTTTGCAACATTTATTAAATTTTAAGCTTATAAATTATAATGCCTAGAGAAAAATTAAATCCATAGTATTAATAATGATACATCAAATCTGATATCATACTGGCAGTGCCGGCTACTTAAGTTAGTGTGGAAAGATGCTTTTCAACAATTAAATTTATATTATCTCCTTATAGATGTAATTTGAGTGAGACTCACGCAGCGGGGGGGGGGCAGAGGGACAAATCCCCCCCCCCAAGCAAATAAATGCAGATGCCGGATTATATTTTTCAAAAATATTGTTAATATTAATTTATATTTGTTAATATTTATTCCTATCTCATATATATTTAATTACATTTATTTATCACATTCATCTACTAAGTTATTTTATCAATTAATTTCGTTTCCAAGTTTTCCTTGGCGTAATTTACCTACTATTTTCAAATATTAGTTTTCTAGTCAAATAATAATTATCTCTGAGAATCCTTGTCTAACAGGGAGAAAGAAATTGCAAGCTTGTCCAACGAGATCGAGTCGCCGCCATCAAGCAGTAACAGCTTTTATGGAGTTAGAAGAGCCGATTATTAATGCTATTACTGAAATATCATAATGGTTTG